TACAATTCAGTTAGAAATCCAATTTCTGAATTTTATTGTTATTGGAGGGTGTGTTTGTGCAGTTGTTGCTGCAAAAGAGTAACATTTGTAAAAGAACCAATGCAGATTGATTTTCCTTCACTTTTTCTGAACCTGAAGCGCTGAGACAAGCAAAACATGTTTCCATTACTTAACTAAGCAAACAATGGCATATAAATCACAGAGGCAGCTGGACCAAGGTGTCGTTTTCATAAAGAGCCAGATTTCTCATGAAGGACAGTTTAATGGGCTGCTGCCAATGAAATGTCTGCAGAGGTGGTAATTGCAGGAGGGCACACAAAAAGTGGCATTAGAAAGGTGTCGCGTGGGAGCTGAGAAATAGCCCTACAGCCAAGACAACTGGAAAAAGGAGACTGAAAAAGGTGTGTGCTTTAATAATTTGCTTCTTGAGGCTGATTGTTTTAAATAAAAATCTACATTTTTATTTTTAGCTTGTTCACATTGGCTGCAAGATCAGAGAAGTGTTTTTAGCTGTAATTTTATTTTGATCATGTTTATGCTGTGGCTTTGTTTCTCCTTTGATCATGCTTAAACATGTTTCAGACATGTTTGTTTGATGTATGCTGTTTTTAAAGCACCCTTCTACATTGTCTGCTTGTGTTTTTTTAAAGCAATGAATCATTGCAAAATATTTGCCTTCAAATTATTTTTTTAAATTCATTTTCCCAAAACATGCTTTCTGAACTTTTAGCCAATGGGGGACTGCTTTTAAACAAGAAAGCGTTGAACTGTTATAGTGGCATTTTTGAGCACTTCATGGATTGGAGGCAGTTCTAGGGTCACGGCATACCTGATAATTCATACGCAGAAATTTGAAGTCATCCTATGTATGCACAATAGCTGCAGTGCACCAACTTTTACTGTTGTTACTAGTGGGTTTGGATCAAAGTACCACTTTCCAATTAGTAAAATTTTCTTGAAGTTCATTCCAGCACTTCTTTTGTGGCTGTTGAATGTATGAAATAGGTCAACCCTGACTGAATTATTTTAAACGTCCCATGGGGACCCCTTGATATTGAACCTGTTTAATTTTGCAGAGTAAGGCAGGGCAGTCTCAATACTTGAACATACACATTCATGGATGACATTCTTTCTTTTGCTGCATGGGTGAGCAATTAGGAGAGTCAAGGAGAAGTCCCTCATCTGTGGACAACATCTCCCTTCCCTTCCTCAAAGAGCAATATAAAAATGCTACATAGTCCATGGAGACCACTGTGTTGCGTGACTGCTGGCCATCTGGCTGATTGATTCATGACGACCCTAAGCAGTTAGTTGTAAGCATGGTCTGAAGCCCTGGAGTTAAATGCAAGTGTGCATCAAGCCTCAGGCAAGTCAAATAGCTCCTCCACTAATGAAACAATAAAGAACACACTACAGATTACTAGTTCACACCACCCATTTCTTAGCTTTATAACCTATGAAATTATCAACCACATTTCTCTTCCTCTCTCCGCACATATAATCATGATGTTGCTTTTATGATCATTATATTCATTTGGAATAGAAATTCATCTATTTCTATATGCAACAGAACACATGCAACCTGTTCTTCCTTTATTTGCTTCATTGCATAGACATAGATCTGTTGTATGAAAAAGACAAAACACCACCAGGTAACAAGAACAAGAGTCCTATAACATGAAGAACCACTCTTTTATCGACTAAAACATATCGATTTAACCAGATGGCAAAACAGCCTGAGAATTGCTCACTAAGAAACACCAGTGTTATTCAGCAAAAACTGTTCCATGATGTACAATGCATGTGTTCTAATATGAGGCTGACTGCTTTATTTTCAGGGATGTAGTTAGATTTATTAATTACTAATTGAAAATCTGAATTCATCCCAGATGAACACTGGTAAAAAATGTATACAAAACATATTCTCATGTGGTCTGGCTATGGCGTTATTTATATCTGCCTGCCTCACACCCCTTCCCTCTGCTACCACACTGACAGAATTATTTTAAACATACATTTTCCATTTCTTAAACTATTTTTCTATCATTCTTGTATCAGTCATGCTTTAATACTAGACTCTCTTACTGCTTCTAGGTTCACTTGCAAAATTGTGAGAGGGAAAGAAAAGAATAATAATATGTTAACCGAGGGCAAGTTTATATAACCTGTACTATATCAGCAATATTATTGACTGAAATGGGACTCCCCACAGTATCTTCATAGGCCAATGTAAAGTTAGATTTTTGATGCCTGATAATATAGTGATTTATTTTAGAATTTGATATCTTGTGATTTACAAAACCCATTGCGCTAGAAACAAATCATTCGACCATTTGGGAAAGTATTTAGGTTTTGATTGAATGGGTTTTTTTACCCGTTTCATTAAGACCTTAAGATTGTAAAAACTATTCAGACAAGAGTTTCTCCAGATCCAGTAGCCCAGAACAGTGTCTATTAATGGGTATCCTCTTTCTCTGATGTATCCTTCCACAGGCTGCAATGCAGAGATTTTCAAGCTGTAGCCTTGTGTTTCTTGTGATACAAGTTGCATTCAAAGCCCTGGTAGATCATACATAAAATAACAGATGTTTACCATGGTACAATATAGTCTCGATATTATTTATCTTGCGTCTTGTGTCAGTGTAACTTGAAGGCTGTTAAATGCTTGTTAGAAAGACAGGAAGTGAATTTAGTAGCTTAAGTTACTGGGGTTTGGGGTGGAGAGCTTAAGCTGCTTACAGATTTTGATATTTTCAGATGTCTAAAAATATTTATTTTAAAACACAACAGGTAATAGACACAGTTCCACAGAGATTTCTTCTGTGGCCTATGTTGTTCAGCATGTTCATAAATAACCTGAAAAAGAGGTTGAGCCGTAGGATGAGAAAATTTTTCACACGATACTAAGTTATTCAGCATAGCAAAACAAAGGAAGACTGTGAAGAATTACAAAAGGAACTTATGCAACTGAGTAGCTAAGTAATCAAATGACAAATTAAATTATTCTTGATGAATGATGTACTGATAAACCATAAGGAAAACCATGAGGAAAACATGCCTTTCTTAGCATATAAAACGATGGGCTGTGGACTGAGCATTACCAATGAAGACTGAGGTTCGGGTGGTTACAGCAAGTTCCATGAAAATTTAAGATTACTGCTTAGGAACTGTCAAATCCATCTTAAATATCAGGAATTAATAGAAAAATAACAGAATTCAACAAAGACCATTGCTACAGCCCTTGTATAAGAGCACAATTCATCCACATCTTGAATACTGTGGGTATTTCTAGTACAGGAATTAAGAGGCACAAAATGAAGTTAGTAAGATCAATGTTCAAAACATGAAATCAGAAGTAGATTTTGGTTCATTAGATTGTGTACATGAGGAACAAATTCCAAAAGAACACTATGAATGTTGGAAAACTTCATGGATTCAAGAAGAGTCTAGGCAGATAACTGGATGAAAAATCTATTGACAGTTACTAAGCACGTAGAAAGGAACTAAGCTCAAGGACTCAGCTACACTAAAAATAGTTAGAGGAAGGGAGATTATTCTGGGAGAGTATTATTTGTACTTACCATATTCTTTCTTTGTCACAGATAATTACTCCTGGACAATGTTGGAGTCTGTATATCCATCTAAGTAAACCTTGGTCTAAGCCAGTATGATCATTCCTGTGTACTGTGTATATACACACACACACAGAGTATATGAGAATATACACACACACACAAAAAAAATTATGCAGTATGTGCTCATATAATAGAAGCATCTAAACACATATATGCATATATATAAAAATATATCAAAATATGTTGCTTACAAACACTGCCATCCTTAATAAGGCAATGGGTTTCACAGGACAGCTAGTGCAAACTGGCAAAACAAAGTACAGTTCATTATTTCCATGACTGTATAGCAATAAACATACGCTGAAAAGACGTTAATGCCTGACACTAAAGTAGCTTCTAATTTCACATAGGAACAGGACTCTGAGTAGTTAAATATAGTTCACAGTTAATTATCCCAGCAGGATGTAAAATGGTTATAAAACAGATTGGTAAATCTGTTGGATATGCCTTCTTTTTTCCAAATATAGTGAGAGATACCAGCTGAAGTATCTCTGTAAAATACAGTGATGAGCAGCCAGAGTCACCACTGGTATGAATTTACTGTTATTATTTCTGTAAAATTCTCTCCCAAAACTTCTTTCCACCATTTTTTACATAACTGATCAGTATGTCTGCATTTTATGTATTTTTATAAAATGCATCATGTTGATAAGATACATCATGTTGATGTATCTTCTTTATCACCAAATAATGTTGTCACTCTAATTGTCAAGAAATAAAGGTTTTCTATGAAAAAAAAAAATTTTAAAAAAAGACAAGACACAGTATTTCAAGAACTTGAATAGGAATTCACAAACATATTTCTCTTCCTAAAATCAGACAGAAATGTTGGGGTTTAGGGTATCATAGTGTGGAAGTAGACAATATCAATCAAAACTCTATTTTTAACCTGAATTTTTTTGACAGTAACACATTAATACTTTTCTAGATGTAAAATACTTACTTTATATATTCTTCATTATTGCTAAAGTTAGGAATATTACATTTGTCTCAATAATTCTCTGATTTTACGTGTGACACATACAGAAAGTTTATTGACCAAAATTAAAACATTCAAACAAAAAGAATGTCAGTAATAAATACATGTAATTAGGAATCCATGCTGTAATATTATACAACCATTTGTAAAGAAGTTTCATGAATGTTTAATTGCTCCAATAATTATTTAAGATCTGTTCATTAAATGTGTGTAGCAAACACCTCTATGTATTAAAGATAAGAGGAATGTAAATACCTGTCACATGTTAATCGTTAAGGATGTACCTAACATAGATACATTTGCCATTTGATGCAAAGATTGATTCTTGGGAAGCAAAATCACAATTCATTTATATAAAGAAGTGATTCATTTCATGGAGTAGTAACATGCACAACGGCATTGTCTTCTCAGATCCTAGATTTATTAGTGCTCATCTGATACCAGAGAGTGACAATCCAGAAGATGACAAAATCTATTTCTTCTTCCGTGAAAATGCAATTGATGGAGAGCACACTGGAAAAGCCACTCATGCCAGAATAGGGCAGATCTGCAAGGTAAAATGATTATTTCGTTGTGTGATTGTGTGATTGAGGACACTTTGAAAGTTATTTTAGGAAGTGCATTTTCTTACCTGTAAACTATTCAGTATTAACACTGGTATTTTACTAAAGCAGAGATCATCCCAAGTGAAAAATAGGGGATAACACACCCAAAAGTATACTATTCAGTTGTTCTCTGTTTGGGGAAGCTTCACAAACTAAGATGTTTTGTTTAAAAAGTCATAGGCATCTTCTGAGGCTTAGAATGTGTCTGCAAAAATGAGAATCTTTTACAGGAAATGTGATACTTCCAGGTAGGCCAAAAACATTTGAAGAATTTACGTTTTAAAGGAATGTTAGTACCTTTCCATTCCCACATCAGTGAAAATCTTTAAAACAGAGGCAAAAGAAGATTTAACAAAACAGTTATTTAAGCTTAGCTGTAGAAATTGGCAACCGTTCAGAAGACCCTTAATGACCGCAGATTGAATCATTCATCCACGCTGATAAACATCTAAATATTTTTCTGACAGACTTTTTAAAAGATTTCTGCAAATTAAATTATATTAATAAATGTTGTAGCTTTGGCAATTATGATCTTTACAGTAAAATTTTATGTTAATCCATAAGCATAATTTCAGTTTATCTCCGCAAATCCAGAGGTAGCTGCTAGAAAACCAATTACCCCATAAGTATGGAGGCCTTGGTGCACTTTATTCATAAGTTTTGCCACTGTACAACTGATACCACTGTTCTGGCATTTTTATCTACTTTATTCACTTGCAACTTGCATTTCTACTTTGTTGCTACCCAGTTAAGAGTAATAAACCCCTTAAGCTTTATCAGGACATGTCAGCCTGAGAGCTCTGGAGTAAAATATTCTGCCTCTCTTGTCTTTCTCCAGTGTTATATGATGTATTACAATATATAAAGAGGTTGGGTTTTTTGTTTGTTTTTTTTTTAATTATGTGCTATTATGAAATACGTCGCATGTCGCAATACAATGTAAATGTTTCAGAATTAATGTCTTTGACAACATGATAATGCTCTTGTATGTAGAACGTGAATCCTTTTCTCTGTTTTCTTATAAGTAGCATCTTGGTGGTTATTTACTGTATTTTGTCTGTACTCTGCTGATACTTCAAACAAAGATTATTACTAGATATTAATGCAAAATACTTTTGTCATTAGAATGACTTTGGTGGACACAGGAGCCTTGTTAACAAATGGACAACTTTCCTCAAAGCACGTCTGATTTGTTCTGTGCCAGGACCCAATGGCATTGACACGCACTTTGATGAACTACGTAAGTGGCAGAAATGGCTTTGATTACAGAAATGTTGTCAGTTATTATCCATATGAATTTAACTTCATTTTCTTTTCCATCTCTTGTTACAGAGGATGTGTTCCTAATGAACTCAAAGGACCCTAAAAATCCAATAGTCTATGGAGTGTTTACAACTTCCAGGTATAGAACATATCATTTTACTTGCATGGAAACTTGTGTGGCTGCTTGTTTTAAATAGGTCTCTTTGTTAAAAATGTTTTTAAGAAACACAAAATTTTCTTAACCTTTGAACTGAGAAGTCAGTGGCAGTAAGAAGTAATGAATTAGGTTTCTTTTCTTATGAGCAATGTACATCATCACTCTGAAGCAAGTAATCACAAAGACTATCTGTTTCTCAAGCTGTTCTTGCAATTGAATTGGCTTTTTATAGTGGGGATCAGAATTTGTAGCCCTTCCCACACAGACCTGGAAAAATAACACAAGCATTAATATTCTTGTTTAGCAGCAAGGTGAAATAGGAAATCTGCAGTGTGAGAAATTTGTTACTATGGGAGGTATTGGTGGAAAATATTGCTGAAATCTGGAAAGTTTAACAATATTTCAAAAGTTCTGTTATTGTATCACACATAACTGTGACTTGAACATTTGGCTTTTATTGTGCTTTCACTGAGACCAAAATTGTACTTGTAACTTTCGTCTGAGGAAGGTTTGCAGTACTGGTTGCATTGCCACATTTATCTGTGAAGGACAAAAGTTTTAGTTTCTAAACAGAAGGAATGTTTCTAGTGATAACCAGGCATAGAAGAGGGAGATTTACAAGTACTTACTGTCATCTGTAAGAAATCTCAAGGTAAGAAACAAAACTGAAGCTTGTGGCTGTGCTGCCCAAATGACAGAAGAAACTGCTAAAAAAATAGAAAAATACAAAATGTAGGAAAGAATTGAATAGACCTCTAGGGATAGCTCCATTGAAGTTTACTCAAACTGGGGCTTTGGCCTTCTGGGGACAATATGTTTTAAATAGTGGAATAGCAGCCATCTGCTTAGGAAAACGACTGAGAGATCGTATCAGTTATGCTGAACTTTCACAGGAGGTGAGTTTGGATTGCTCTGAGAGCATGTCAGAGTTTTGATAATCAGCACATGCAATAAATTAGAAAGCAACAAGCTGCTATTCCCATGGCCTTTCCTTAAAGAACCTGATTTGATTTCTTCTCTCCTCATTTTTAGTAATATCTTCAAGGGGTCAGCAGTGTGTATGTACAGCATGACTGATGTGAGGAGGGTATTTCTTGGTCCCTATGCCCACCGAGATGGCCCAAACTACCAGTGGGTTCCCTACCAAGGGCGAGTGCCATATCCACGGCCAGGAACTGTAAGTACCCTAAGTAATACAGTCGTCTAAAAAGGGAAAACTATGGAAAATATTTTGACACATTACATGGGCCTTCAGCTGAGATCCAGGAAAGAAACTGAAAAAGATAATGAAATGGATAGGATGGCAGAAGGGAAATCCAACAACTCCTCCAGGTCCAAAGTGTACTGATTTTCATGTAAAATATGAAACTGAAATAGCAACTTCATTTGGATTTTAATTCATATTAACAACTTCAGCAGAAGTTTAAGGAATGGCTGGAGAACCTTCCTGAGAGTCAAATGTTTAATAAATTACTCTGCATTGTACTTTCCTTGGAATTTGTCTTTGTTCCAAATATTGGTTGAGTCATTCTTAGTGAGAATGAACAGAAAACAGAGCATCTGTCTGGCTGTTAAGAAACATTCAATTATTCTTGACACTGAATCTGGTACAGTAAGAGAGATATTTCTGCAATGGATGATAGAGTGACTATAACAATTTCTAAATTCCACTGTCATTTTTTAAAATTTATGCGACTACCTATTTCTTTCATTGAAGTTTATAAATTACTAAAATATCAATATAAGACATCCATATTTATAACTCCCAGCTGATGTCATCACATTCTAGAAAAATTTACCTGCCTCAGAAATTACCAGTAGTCTAAGAAGATGGGACATTTATGAAAAAAACATTAATTGTATACATTAGGGTAGCTCCTTAGCTAGTATAAATCAGCTTGGCCCATTTAAGTTCTGAAATATCATTGCTGAAAATTAAACTTACATGTACACATTAATATATATAAACATGTAAATGTAAATGTAAGTGTAAAGTGTAAATGTAAATAATATATCTGTTTATAATATTCTTTTAAAAATCTCCTTAAATATAAGGCACAAAACAAACCAGGAATAGCTTTGAACCTTTCTTTTAAATCATCAGATTTTCTACTTTTTTCTGGTATGTTTTGAAATTGTTCTTTCAAAACTGATCTTTCAACTGATCTCCAACAGTTAGACAATATATAAGCTCAGCCTAATGAAAATGACTACCTAACTAAAAGAAAACAGTGGCTCCCTGACAGCTGGATTCCTCAGCTTTCCTTGCTCTCTTGCTACAACTGCTAAAGGGATTCCTAATTTTTTCCAGAGTTAAAATACAAGCTCTGCAACATAGGAGCAGTTTAATTTGTCATTTGATGCTAAACTAGGTGTTTTTTTTTTTAATTACTCTAGTTAATGCTGATATGTCAGAGTTTTTTTTATGAAGTTGTATTGTTTTACATCCCTGTGGGAAATGTGAAGGAGTAGATATTTTTGGTATTTCTTGTATAGCTAATGCCATCTTCTTTTCAGCCTGACAGACTTAATAAGTTAGTGTTCATTATTATGTTTATTTATATTCCTCTTTGATTCCAGTATTGATTAACCTTTCTAAACAAAAACAAGTAATAGACATTATGTAAAACAAAGAAGAATGGTACATGTTTCTATCACAGGAATAGACTGAGATGAAGAACTGACTGCTGCACAGTGGCTCTGTTACATTCATTCCTGAGGAGAGAGCGGATGCAGCTCTATTGAGATTCTGAATGCACAGCTCAGATATTTGCCCTAGAGACTGACAACCCAGCTCTGCCTGCCTCAGAGCCTGTGGGTTATTCCAAGACTTGTCTGAGGGTCTTGAGCTTGGGTCCATATGGGAGAATAACTTGATAAAATTCCTGAGAACAAGCAGAAAAGCAGGGACCCAAATCCAAACCCTAAGTGATTAAGTGACCTAAGCCACTAGATCTTTTGCCAAAGTAGGGTAATACAGTTAAGTATTCAGTTAATACAGTTAACTTTTTTTCCGGCTACTCTCTCAGAATGGATTTTACCCTTACAATTTCACTATAACATACTTACACTAAGATTCACAAAGAAAGGGCAAAGATATTCAGATTTCATTGTAAACATTTTTCTTGCCTAAGGGTGAATGTGATCCCAAGTTATACAATTCTGCATAGCCCTGCAGTCACATCATGTAGTGCAAGAGGCCATGACACTGTAAACTATGTTAATTACAGAGTGGCTGAGGCCATCCATTTCTCCTAGCCCATTGCCAGTGACTCTAATCCTGGTGTCTTCCACTTTGAAAAAAAATTTTTGTTTTCACTGCACAGTGGCTAAAATCATTCTGTTGTATTAGTAGGATAAAACTGAATTTTACAATGAGACACATTTCTGGCTGAAAAGGAGCTTTTTGTTTCTAAATTGATGAAATTTGATATATTTTGAATTGCTTTGAAGACCTCTTAAGAATAAAGAAGAAAGGTTTTTGAAGTTCCTTTAGATGTCAGACTTGTGGCTTCCTATTCCAAGAAGTGGGGAAAGGCAAAGGAGAAACAAAACCTGAGCTTCTTACAGTGACTCAGTTCCAGATCTCACTGCAGTTAAACAGTGCTGAATTATCTGAAGAATTTGATAGGTGAGGTGCCAGTAAACTTCTTGAGCATCTGGAGGTTCTTTTGAAAAGTCAGAAAACTTTGTAAATGATTCTACACCAGCTTCACATTTAACAAAGAAATTGACAGATTTTTCCTTTAAGATCTATTTTTTTTTTAACCTTTTAACAACATTTGGAAGAGGAGGAAGGATTTTTGTATATACCTTATCTTGAATGGAGTACCTCATCCTGCATTCATATCTGACTTTCTGTGAATTCAGCTACAGAGCTCAAGTTTTCTCCGCTTCATGGTGTTATCTTCAGTTATGACCAAAGCATTTTTTGCTCCCACCAAAATTAGCTATTGACTTACTCTGTTGGATTCCCTAATAGGCCAATTAAGGTACAGCCTAGTTACCTCCTCCTGACTAATGAAAACCCCTGACATGGTATACTGGGGACCAGGGATAGAAAGTGAATGTTAAATGCAAGAGTTCTTTTGACTCTGCTTGAATCCAAGATCAAGCACATTTCTCCAAACCGTTTCAGGACATTTGTATTCATGCCTATATTTTGACACCTGAAAACTATTTCCTTGCTATCAGTAGGATTGATTAGGTATATAACCATGAGTTGTGATGAAGTGCCTTGCCAATTAGCTTGACGTAGACCCACAAATATGAAAAGCAGTCCTGTCATTAGCATTAAGGGTAATGTTTTTGTTGTGTATCCTGGTTTTGTGACCATAACGTAAGTAAATGTGACAGGACTTTCCTCCTCAGGACAGCTCAGACTTTCTGTGGGTTGAAATTCCTTTGCAAGCAGTTTGGACTATGGACGGGCTAAATCTCACCTACTGATGGTGCCCATTTCACTCCATTCACAAGGAAGGGAGTTATAGCCAAAAGAGTTTAATTTCATCTCAGTTAGTTTCCTAAAGTGGGGTGGGATGAATGTGAGCCACAGCCTAGTCCAGGTAATGCACTTTAAACTTTAGATGGAAAAGCACAAAGATGCTATCATTGTTTATTCTCAGAAAAGCAGGGGATCCAAGCAGTAATCTGGCTGTCAGAATTGGGAGTCTCATTTAAACACACACAATGATGACACTAATTCTAGTTTTATGGTTTTTCTGCATAAAATATGTCTTGGTCAACATTGCTGCAAGTAAAATCCTTTGTTAGAAAATGAGCCAGAAAGCAAATATTCAAGCAATTGAAACACAGCTGAAATTCATTTACTTAAAATTGAAATGAATATTCATTTACTGTTGTTTTTCAGTGTTTGCCCAGCTGCAATTAACAATACTTGGTTCTTGTGTAGTGATTTTTATACTTGAAGTACTTTGCATATATTGTCTAATTAATCATTATCTAATTACTCTGAGTAATTAGTATTGAACTGTAGTTAGAATATTAACCGAGATGTAAAGCAAACTTAAAATTGAAGTGTAGAGTTTTAAACACAATCTTTGAGACAGACAAAGGTTTGGCCAATGATTATAAAAAGCCTAAAAAGCCTATCTGATTTTATCTTTGTAATATTTCTGTAAGAGAGAGCAAGAGCATATAATAATAAAAATGCTGGAGAACGTTGACACTATAAAGTAGATAACTAACTTGCTTTCTGCTTAGTCTGCTTCACATGCATTAATCAAACGTCCTCCCTCCCTCCCTTCCTCCCTTCCATACCATTTAATGGAACAGAATGCAGGAATTTGCTTACTAACAAATATGCCAAAAAGAGACAATTTACACTTTATACATCCATGCTGGAAGTGTCCCTTTGCTGAGTACAACAACTACTCCTTTTGAAAATATTGATTTTTTAATTCAATTTCTGATGAATTATTAATAATTTTGATCAAGGTGATAGCAAAGACAATTGATTTCTTCTGCTGAGCATCCTGCAAGGTCTGGATTCTTCGTTAATAAGATGTTGTCCTCTAGGTTTTTAATTTAATTGGAAGATATTATGTATGTGGATATAAAGGACAAATTATCTAGGGCAATTTAACATCAACTGTTTATATTTTAGGTTCACATGCTGCAAAGATAATTATTGTCAACTAGGTTTCAGCGTTTTATATGTCTTAAACAGGTATCTGAACAAATTAGGGTGGGGGACACCAAGTAAGTTCTTTGCCAAGTATCTTTGGGCTGGTGATTTAATTTAATTTAATTGTGGCCCATTTTCTTCATTCATTCAACATTACCAACACCCTCCTAACTTACTTTAAAGTAACCTGTAATTGGTCATAAAATACTTAGCAATTCTACAGAGGAGATGAGGGCAAATGGTGGTGATTCTTGAGTCTCCCCATGGGGACATGCAATAGGTGAAAGTGGAACAATATTTTTGTGGCTACCAAAGCCATGGTCATACCTCTCCTTCCCTTCTCAGCCTCTACATTTTGCTCACATTGGGAGAATGAGAACCCTTTGCATTTCACAGATTAGAGGCAAAACTGTCTGGCCTACCCATGGCTGAATAAGGGGGCAAAAGGACTCTACTGTATTATTTCATGGGGACCAGCTTAATTCCAAGGGGATGTTAACTTTTCTGTTACTGCACAATACACAACAGTGAAGACTTATTTCAGTTCTTTGGCAAGAGTCGTCTTACCTAACTGTTCACATTGACAGTATGAGCAGCAACACTCACATGAGGCTTTCTTTAGAATCAATGGAGAGAAAAGAGATGCATTTAGGACATGACACATTTGATTTGATTTAGTGTAACAGGATCCACATTATCAGGACTGCATGGATGACACACGCTTGTTGAGACAAGCAGGAATTTGAAAAGTCAGTGTAACAGGGAATTGTAGCAGCATTTAAAGATTTGGTTCCTTAGAGAGGAATTGACTTCCAGTCAAATCCTGAAGACAATACTTTGAAACAAAGATGGTGGCATCATTAATTAATTTTCTGTTGTATATGTAACCAAATACTTAAACTGCTTGAAATTCTCATATTGAATGATTTTAGATAGTTCAGGATTTATTCCTTTGGCCAATTAATGGCAGTAAATGACTGAAAATCCTTTTGCACTGCATAGTAGTAAGAAAAATTATGTATAAGGATCATTTACATTCTGTTAACCATATTGATCTAAGTCCAAAATGAAAAAAAAAGAGACTTTCAGTGATGGAATTAACTTCTGCTGTCTGTCATGAAACACTGAGATGTCCTGTCATATTTAGTTATAGACTGCAGTAGTCGGGATGATTGTAATGAAATAGATTTCTAATATGTTTCTAGTGTTTGATAATAAAATGTAAAACATTTTCTTTTTTATTTCCAGTGTCCCAGTAAAACATTTGGAGGCTTTGATTCCACCAAGGACCTTCCTGATGAAGTTATAACATTTGCAAGAAGTCATCCAGCTATGTACAACCCAGTATTCCCCATCAACAACCGTCCAATCATGATCAAAACAGACGTGGATTACCAATTCACACAAATAGTAGTAGATCGAGTAGATGCAGAAGATGGCCAATACGATGTGATGTTCATTGGCACAGGTGAGAAGATTTGAATCTACACTGTATGCTCCTCCAGGCATTATGGAGACATAGATCAGATGAAATTTCATACTCTGAAAGACAGAACACTGACAGAATAGTGTATACGTGTGAAAATTTGGGGAGGTCTTTGTTACATACATTCACTGCTACAAGTTCAGGCTGTGGCCTGCATAGCTTAATTCTTTAGGAGCTTTGCCAGCTGGATTAAGATCAAACCGCTCTCTTTTCAACTACTGTTATTAGGGAATTTTATTAGAAATATCTTGCCTTATTAATTATAATTTAGTATTAAAATGCAAGTTTTGTGGTTCTCATTTTGAAGTGCAGCATAAGAAGTATTAACAGGAATGAGGCAAGTATCCAGGTACGGGAAATGTCTTGTGTGCCTTTCAAGTATTTCAGGTATTGCCTTGAGATGCCCAGCTCTTTAGCTAGAAGAGTGCATCATTTTACTTAATATATCTGGCACATACAAAGTGGTTTAAGAAGAGTTGGTATTCAAATAGAAACATGATATCTTCTCCAAAGCATTTGCAGAATCGTACAGCTTGGGCATTTTATAAAAGTGGAAATATGCACTCAGAAAAGACTTTTTTTTTCCAGAAGGGTACTAATGAGAAATAACAGTGGCCAGAAATTAGCTGATATGCATTTACCTAAGTTCAGTGGCTTGAGAACTTTGCTGATGCAGTTGGTGGATCTGCTGCTTCACCTTTGAAGATATTCCTTTAGTTGGCTGGTGTTTCAGTTATATTGAATAAAAGTATTTTAAACGTCTATTGAACATAATTGCTAGTAATTAGACATTGGCATTATGAAGTGAAAACAAATCAAACCAAAACCCCACTGTTTCTTTTCAGCTTTCGACCAAAAAATATCTGCCTGGCTGTCTGTCTTATAACAGTCCAATTTTTGACTTGCTTTAAGCACAGTTCTGGTGCTCTAGACCTGGGGTCAGATTTCGAAAGCAATAAGTCTCAAGGTCTCTTTCATGTTAATGCCTGCAATTATTATGAGCAAACCGAGAGCTGACAAAGCTTTGTGTACCAAACACAGTGCATGCGTAGCAATTCAGAACATTTACTGCAGGAAATGCAGCTCTGCAGAAAGTGTTCCAGCTCTTTAAAGCTGTGAACTGAGTTATTAGATACCAGTGCTACAATATGTTTTGCATAAAACATTGAAAAGTAGTTTCATATGATTTTACACAATACATATATTTTCCATCACACATTAGAGACTTCAATGCCATCTACAATTGGCGGTGTTTTGTGCCTTTCAACAAGTCTTCTATTACCTGCTTCAACCCAGGAAAAAAATTAATGTCAATACTCCACTTGGCTGCAATGTGAGGGAACAAGCCCTTCAGCATCCAGAGTATGATGCTGAGCAAACATAAGGAGCTGATTTATGTCTACATGTTGAGCGCAAGAGGTGGCATTTATCTCACCAAAGTTTGACATTCAGTCTAAGAAAGATGCCTTGGCTTCTGCAAAGGAGAGAGAGAGAAGCACTTCCAGAGAGAGATTCATTGTACTTTCTTCAAGACCCCTATTAGAGTAAGATGAATAGTTATGCAGAAGTTCCTGTCTGCTTTCAGACAGTCCAGGAAGACTTGCTTAAACCTGAGCTATAGCTTTTAGATAACTATCATTACATATAGTGGTTCCTATCTAAATTAGTCAGGCAAGGTCTCACTCTGAAAGAGCCTCAATAATACCTAGCTCTTACCTTTGTGTTGGGAATTTAGGCACTCAGTTCCTTAAACCACTAATATTCAGGTGTGTGGTAAGTGCGTGCTCGGGATCCCATCCAACATTGCTGATATTTGTGCCCAAGAACAGTAAGAAAAGTATTGAAAGGTTATTACTTGCACTTGCCAAAAGAGATTTCAGCAACAAAAACACAGCTTCATAAGTGCAGAGCATTATTATTTCCTGAAATACTACTTTTGTCTACAGAAACTGTTCTTTTTCCAGTAGGAGGTTATACCCTCATGGGACAAGAACAGGTGTTAAAATACCTGTGCTTGGAGCTGGGGCACAAAAGGTGCTCCTCTGAGCTCGCTGTCCTTCTTGTGAATTTCAGAATGAGGAAAGGGCATCTTCCACACAGTGGGAAAGGAAAAGAATCAGAACTGAGGCCCTGCCTGCCTTCTGCCAGAAAGCTGCACTGAGCTGGCTGGTGAAAGTCAAAGAAACCAGAAACAGATACACAATCAGCACATTTTACATCTTCCCGAAGCAAAGAACAAGCCGGGGAGCAGACTAGAGACTCTGGTCACAGTTCAGTTTTCCACTTGATGACCTGAACCTATGACAAAGCCAGAATTAAGCTCTCTGGGGATTACTGGATTTTTTTGTGCAGGTCTGTCCCATCAGATTAGATACATTTCTCTGTATTTTCCCATTGCCGTTACAGCAATCTACATTATTCCCACATGCTGCTGAACTTCAATATGTTGACGAAATACTTGTTTTTCCTTTTCATTGAATAACTGATGATAAATGAACACAACATAATTAATAGCCATCCAGTGTGGTCACATTTTCCTTTCCTGTGGGTGAAATCTTTAGCTGAGCAGTTTCTTTCCCACTGTGATTGTACGAGTGTGTTTCACAATGGAAATAAAATCCTATCGGCATGCTTGAAATTATATCAGAAAAAAACAGGATTTAAGATACGCACTTAATGCATATCCTGAGTGTCTGATGTTTGGGATCATTTGGCACAGTCAAGGTACATCTGTCAGTAAAGCAAATTAATAACAGTAATCTTATCTTACTTAGCAGAGCCTATTGATCCTAAAGGAGAAGCCTGATTCCATTTGTGTGAAGTTGTTTGAAATAGTACTCTGTAAAACTTGATCTAGAACGCAGATAAAGCCCCACTTTGGTACCTGTGGCCTGACCAGAGTCGCCGTAGTGATTAACACAGTGTATCTTTGACCTCAGAGGCTTTCTCAAGCATCAAGAGACTGTAATTGTTGCAGGATCCACTTAAAAGTCAGACTTTTTTTGGAAACAACATTATGTGGGGAACTTATGTCTGCTCACTGCCCGCTCAGGCCCCACAGCTTCCCGTGTGCTGTTTTATCAAAAATACCCCTTTATTTCTAGAATATGGCATTTGATGGACTGTGACTGAGTCACACTGTGACAGCCGTGGTCCAACACAGAATACAGTCATGACACATTGCTACACTGTTATACTTATTGGATCAGAGTTCTTTTTTTTACCCATACAATATATTTATCTCAAAACCACAGTCAGCAAATTATCAGGATAATTAAGGAAATGAACTCATCCATTAAATTACAAATATAACTAACACTAAATTATCTGTTGTTCTGAATTACTCTGTTGTAGAAATGTGGATTTTTTTCTTCTTGTTTTGAAGTTTATATTACATTTTTTCTATATTGTTCCCGATATTTCTTGAATTAAATATATTCAACTAGTAGCAGCAACCATAATGAAAACCACTTCCAAAACAACTTATCTAGTATATTTTACTAGTTTAGTTTGTACATGTAGCTGCCCAAATAAAAAGAAAGCCATGCTTTGCTTTGTTGTTGTTGATGTTGGTTTAAGAAAGAACTGTTGTTTCTTTTTAAAAAAAGAATCTATGAATTTGTGACTAATGAAAGAAAACAGTGATGTAGATATCTTGTGGAAAAAAATCACTTCTTTCTAAACTTCCAAAAATATGTGCTTAGAAACCAACATCTCCTTAAAGGGGAGCAGATGGAAAAATTGAAAATCTCGGTTGTACAGGGTAGTCTAGGATTTCTAGAATATTTTGTTCTAAATTTATGTAAAGGAGTTGAAATACCAGAATTTTCTCATTAAATTAATAGCTTTTAAGTTAGTCAACTTATAAAAACATTTTCAACCTGTGTAATCTATTTGTTTTGATTTTGTATGAATTTTCAGTATAAAAGTGGTGAGTTGTCATCTTTTTAATCAGAAGTTTCAACTAACACACAAATATATACATACAAAATATATTTTGATTTTGTGTAATTGTTGGTTACTTCTTGTTTTGAGAATGTTGAACTTTATAGTTCTGTTACTTTGAGAATTTTATCCAGTTAAAATGCCTTATTTTCCCCTAAACTATTACTGATATAGAATGGGCAACATGAAAAGTTCAAAGGGTTGTAGTTGTTATTCCTATGATAATTTACATGGCACTATACTTGGCTGATTAAAAAGAAAATCCAGAGTGTTTCCATTTCAGAGAGTCTGTAGTGATGTGTACCAACCTAGAAATGATTCCTTTTTTTCTTGTTGTTCCCTGAAAATTCTACTAATGGAAACAAACAAATAAATCACAGACCCAGAAGCTGTAAAACAGAGATGGTCTTAAGTCTCAACCATATTCACAAAACCAAAAGCTGTAGCTCTGGAATTTCAGGTGTTGACCTTGTTCATGTTAAAGCCAATTGCAAAACCCCAAGAATGTAAATGGATATAGTACTGAAATGCTGGCACACACCTATTTCTAAACAGAAGATACAAGTTCTAGTGCATTTTACCCCTCAGTGAAGACTAGTGTCTATCACACAGAGAAATATAGATGCCTTAAGGGGTTTATACATCTTAGCTACTTTGTTTGACATGGGGAAGATTGCATGTACTTAAGAGATCTAACAGCTTCATCTGTCTAACAACATTTGTCCAGATGTTTTTATATCCATACTGAGCCTTCTGACAGCATCTTCACATGCATTTTAAGAATGACAAACATCATATTCAAAATAGACAATAAAACATATTGGGGTAAATTTAGTGCATTTCCTTCCTGAATTACATGACTGAAACATCTGTCATTTTATACTGTCACTTACATAGCATTTTAGTCCTTCTCATTCTTTAATAACTGTACTATTATTTATTTGTTGTGTTTTGATAATTGAAAGACTTCAGTGAAACATCCTACTGAAATTCAATGTTTTTCCAGGTTATTTTAAATAGCAGTTGGTATTTTGAATGAGTGCTCAGTGATATGTAGCCTCACAATCTTTACATGTGAAATAATTGCATAGTACAAGAAACTCTGGCTGCTCTGAAACTGAAGTACGCTTCTTAAGCACCTGAAAACTTTTTTTTGTTTTCCTTTTCAAGATATTGGAACAGTCCTTAAAGTGGTTTCAATTCCTAAGGAGACTTGGCATGAATTAGAGGAAGTCTTGTTGGAAGAAATGACAGTCTTTCGGGTAAGTGTGGCTAAATTTCAAGTGTCAGGTTGTAGATTTCTCTGTGGACAGCTGCAAACTAAACTTCTTGCAGTCTAGCCAAGGAATAGCCTGGCATACCCCTCTAATTAGCTTGTCATTTAGAGACCCAGACACTAGTCAAAATAAACCTTGAAACATTCAGTGCTAGCTGGAGGTTAATGATAAAAGAAATGGTATTCTGTGCTCTTGTTTTCTGGTTTAAAAAGTAAATTAGTATCTCTGAATTGTAGTGCCATTACATTCTGTGGTTAAATATGTATCTGTGCAAGTCTGAGAATAATGTCTGTCTGTTTTCTCCCACAGAGATACGCAATACACGAATTTAATAGATGCATAAACTCTTAAGAGTATTCAGACTATCAGCATAGTGTAACTCTAGGAAGATACTTTCGGAAAAAACAGTGGTCTGCACAACTTTCTTATGCCTAATAATTTGAGAAACAAAGAAAGTGTTTATATTTTCAAAGGTGACTTTAGGGTCTCATTTTCATGGTTTGACACAAGACACCATAAACACCCCCCAATCTTTAGTACTTTTTTGTGAAAATCAATCTCTTCCAGTTTTCCCATCTGAACCACCCAAAAAATCAGGCATCCTATAGGCACTCCTGCAAGACAGAGGCTGAGTAAACCTTTCAAACTCTTTCCAGACAGAACCCAGGGATGTCGTGTGTTTTGTACACAACGACGAATCATTTACATTCCCCACATTATTCTTTTTGTCAGTGCCGTTTTATGACACCATTTCACAGGCCCCAGGTTTTCAGGGGGAGCAGATTAACCTCGCTGAGAAGACGAGGTTAACCTGACAGCGTGCAGATGATGCGTGCTCAGACAGCCCCACATCACGTGGTCTTACTCCAGATGTGCTGACAAGAACTTCTCTGAACCCGCCACAGGGACCCAGCCACCATGTCCTCATCATACTCACTTGCCATCACTTTATCTTTGGTTTCAGAACAGACACAACATATCTAAACAGAGCTTGTAAATCTTTTTATTATTATTTTCAATATTTTTTGTTGTTGTTATGGGCAACTTTGCTTTTAGTGGTACCAATCTTACACAGAAACCACTGTTTTGAGTGCAAGATACCAATGAAAAATGGGTATCTGTTTCTGAAATCCATGGTTTTTTTGAAGGCAGAAATGTGGTGGTTTTTAATTCTTTTTTTTAACAGAAATATAAAGTAGAAACTATGAGGAGAAAATGAGACAAGTAATTTGTGACTCCCAGCTTTTCTTCTTTTTTATACACACAAAAGTCATTATATTAATGCAAGGTAATTTGGCAGTTGTTGATAATGTATGAGTCTCTTTCCTAAATCAAGTAGAAGTGCCAAGGTAAAGGAGATCAGAGAAATAGAAAAGTGAAAGAAAAAAAAATAGATAGAGTGAAAGTTTTGTTTCAGAAAGGCTTTACAGAGGTAGAATGGTTAATGGCAAATTCAAATCTTGTATTTTACTTTACATGTGTATTTGCTCATTACACTAAAGGATTTTGGTGTTCTGATTTACTCATTTATCTACTTTGGCATGTATTTAAGCCTTAAAGAGGGCATTAATGTACTTCAGTGGAATAAGCAGAATTTGTATGCATAAGATACGGATCTTTCAATAGGGAATTTGCAACAGATTTTACAGGTACCTTAAAGAAATGTAAGTTTTCTTTAGTTACTGAAGAGTCTATGTGCATCATAAACAATGTATTTTGATACTTAAACTGCAATGGCCATAACACAATGCTTTTCATTTATAATTCCACGAAACTGAAAGTCTTCTGTATCTGTTACACTGATAACAAATGCCTCTTTTAACCCCATTTGTGCAATATTTCTTTGAACAGCTGAGCAAACAGACTAATGAGTTCAATTTTCATTCAAATGTTATAGTTAATTGATGCTTTCTAATATAAGGTCTGTTAACCCATTTGTAAAGGCAAGTCCATGTACTTAACATCCACTGACCCATATCAAATTCTCCCAGGATAAACAAGTTGAAAGCTATATAAATGTAAAAACTTAATAAGGACTTTATTAATATACGTAACCAAGAGTATGATGTATGAGATCAATAGCAGATTCTTAGATGGAATAAAGTTCATGCAGAATTGACTTGCACATTTTGTAACCAAATTATTCCACTTTTACTCTCAGGATTAACATTCACTCAAGCAGCTGGGCCTAAGAGGTGTAACAGTCTTTTAAACAAATCTAAACATATTTATTGTGTTAAATATTTCATACAGTCTGTTTTGTAAGAAAGTAGATTTTGGTTTGACATCTGCTTGCTACAGAGAAGTATAATTAAGAGTAGGCTTAGCTAGAACAATAACTCGCCTAGTGATCCATTTGCTTGATTAAATAATGGGTATTCCAGGGTGCAAAAAAACTCTTGCCAGTTTTAGTTCTATGTACTGCAGATATGAGTAACTTCTTTGTACATGGATAGTGTGGTGCAGTCAACAAAATTACGCTTGGGACTAGGGCTTGTTCTTATGAATAAAATTTTGCAGGAATGGGATTTTCACCTTGATATGGTTAAAAAGCTTATTTCAGTGTTATCGCCTTTACTATATAGGATCTACATATTTTGACACAGCCATTATTATTTTCCTGTTACCTGGGAAGTTGTTTAAATGTAGTTTTAACATTAAGTGTAGAACTTCATTTCAAGATGTGAAACTAGTAACAAAGTAATCACAATGAAACTGTAATAATCATGGAAAATTATATATCTACAATCAACATAGCAATCAAAGATGCACCAGGATATGTACATGCATTCTAATTCACTTACAGCTAGAAACTATTCCACTGCAAAAGGCGACAAGAAGCACCATTACTAAGGAGTGTCTAGTTTAATTTCAGGGTTTCTAGGTTGGGCAAATAGCATTCTAGCAGAATTTTTATGTTTATATTTTAACTTTTTTTTTTCCCCTAGGAACCCACTGTTATTTCAGCAATGAAGATTTCCACAAAACAGGTACTATATGCACAAACTTTAAATCACTTTTAAATATTTATTGGTCTCTGTCTTTTTGAGACAGTAACTTGGCAGTCAGTAGAGACATATTAATTACAGCAGCAGCATCCCATCCCTTTACATAAACATCAGTAGTTTCTCAGGAAAATGTGACATCCAAAGGAGAAAAGGAAAAGTCTAGTTTGTGTTACTTGCTGGTAAGGTGGAAACTAAAAACAAACTAGCCAGCTGTCTGGAGGCTCTCAAGAAAAAAAAAAATTCCACGTTATGGAATGTTCTCATGACAGAGAGGCTGTTCAAAAGGAGGGACTGAACCTAGTCCCTTGCTTTAATGGGGCTAGTTCTAGTCTTTGCTGGAATAGCCTAGTACAAAATGCAGATAGTGGAAGCAAAGACTGGAAATGAGATATCCTCCTGTCTTTCTCTCCAATGCTCATTCCATTCCTGGATGTGCACCGTTCAGCTTTAACAAAGAGGGTAGATCTGATTTAGTCCAAATTTTCCATGGCCTTCTTGTTCAGTGACATGGTTAGGAAATATGTTCCAGACTCCAGAATTAATATTTTTTGCTTTCTGTTGAGTGCACTAATAACTAACTTCTTAAAGAAAAGATATAAACTACAGCCTTTGTTGTAGACCAAACCATAACTAAAATGAACTGGACTTCTTGATGGATGGAGCTAAAGTTTTGTCTGGTTTACTGTAAAGGTGATTCCTGCATTTTTGAGCAAATATGGGCAATTATTATTAGGCTTCTTTGTGAAGCAGCTGATGAATTATCTAGTTGTGCAAAGAACTTTGGATTGCAGTCAGGGATTGAAGTGGGTATCAGGGGCCTGCCTTCCAGTTCTGCCTGGAATTAGGTGGATGGAGCCCAGACACTGTCATTTCCTGTCTCAAAAATCTAAGACATAAAATTCTGTGTCAAATTTAGCATAATAAATCTTAATTTTTTTTTTTTTCCTTTTTCATGTTTGTGTTGATTTGGAACCTAATTTTGTAAACACAAGCAACTTATTCAAACTCATTAGTTTTTCCATTAATGCCATTGTCAGTAAAGAGGAGATTTGATATTACTTGTGGGACTGAGCACACTAAAAATTGTGTGTGTTATAAATAAGATTTAGTTAAATAATCAACTTCACTCTATACATTATTAAACAGAAATTGAATTAATTCTGTAATGGACAGAGCCCAATGTTGTGTTAGAAATGCTGCATATTTAACTCAGAATTTGCTGTATTTAGGAAAGTTGTCTGAAAATATTCATGTATTTGACAGAAAACATATTGTTTGGGGCCATTCTTCTAACATAGTTTTCGTTTAAAACAAAAAAAAATGTCAGGATAAAAAAAAAGTACTATTGAATAACCTGTCAAGTTGTATATGTGTTCACATCATACCAAAATTTTCTGCTTTGGATTATTTTTATAAGTACATTCCCTTAAAGCAGCCCATCAGATTTGATAATTGACCATGCATTTTCATACAACCTCTTCTTCAAAGCATCTTTAGTTATTCAGAAGAGTGTACAATTTTCCCTGAGTCTTTTGAAAACAAATTTACACTGCTAAAATTGTCTAAAGCTAAAAAATAGCATAAAACACAAGTTTTTCAGGCAGAGTTAAGCTCATGAAAAATCAACCAACCTCAGGTTAAAAATGACAAAATCATGATACAATATAGCAAGCTTTTGACACTGTGTCTCTGTATCAAATAAGTATATGGCAACAAGTTTCCATTTTATATTTATGATTTAAAAATACTGTAGTTTTATAATTCAAACACTTTACTCATTGAGTTCTGATAAACAGGATGTTTTTCATATAAACAGCATGATAATTCTGTGCATTGTAGGAGCATACAATACATTTCAATACATACATTTCAAGCAGGAGCATGAAATGTAAACAGTAAAACCAGCATGTACTACTGAATAACTTTAAAGCAATCACTTTATTTTTTCACTAACAATTCTTTCATCCAATTATAAAAACATGGTATTGTGTGTCTGTCCTTATTTTTTAATTCTTACGACACTGGTTGTTCAAAGCCACCTCTTTTGTCATCATGCCAATACGATATGTTACAAATTACCCTTCTAACTAAAGAGAAAAATCTACAAATTCTTCAGGAACAGAATGTAGCATAAGTTTTAAATGGTCTAAAACTAGGGCTTCCATGCCTCTGTCAGTATGAATTTGGCACTTGAGCAAGAGTGACTTTGAGCAAGGAAATTTAGCCTTTATGCGCAAGACTAATCCTTGACACTGTCTTTCCCAACTTTGTTGTCTTTAACTCCACAGAAATTATCTTTATATTTCCTCACTGAAGCTAACTGGGTTCAGAGCCTTAGGTTTGTGTAGCCTTACTACCTGAACAACATATGCATGGTTAGCAGTAGACACAAACTTTCAGAGGACAGCATCCTAGAGCCACTGTAACGCTCCGCAGCCACATGAATTCACAGTTCTGTGGGAGCCAGGCTTCCAGGGAGCCCCTGGCTACCACTTGGCCCTGAGCCTGTCAGGTAGGGCTCCATAATTTTTCCCTTGATTTAAAAATGTGGAAGCAGGCCAAAAAGTCAGGCCTGGCTTGCAGTCAAAGGTGACTTTTTGTGGAGCAAGCTCTCATCTTTTTCTGAGGGTCAGGTTTGTGATGCTCTGTTTCAAAAAAACATTGGATTTCTGCCAAGATGGGGAAGAAACAAGGAGATACTTGACTGATACAGGCCTCCTCCTTGTCTGGTGAACTGCTACGAAGAGCTTTTGTTTCTCCTCCATCAGATTCTCAATCAAAGGCAAGGCAGAGACCTTCAGGAAGACCTTAGTGACTACTTTTATAGTACTTTTCACAAAGTACTGAATTTTATTCAGAGATCACCATTGCTGTCCATAGTGAGCATATAGAAAGAACCAGCTTAAAATGGATATGTCACTTAAACAACCCTCTGAACTTTTCTGCATCAGTTACATTTCAAGATATTGTCGTGGTTTAGCCCCAGCCGGCAACTAAGCACCACACGGCCGCTCACTCACTCCCCCTCCCACAGTGGGGCGGGGGAGAGAATTAGGAAAAAAAAACCTCGTGGATTGAGATAAACACGGTTTAATAGGACAGAAAGAAAGAGGGGAACAACAATGATAATACCAACAAAGGAATGTACAAGAACAAGTGATGCCCAATATATCGATTGCTCACCACCCCGTGATCGACAGCCCGTCCCCGAGCAGCGATTTCCACCCCCCGGCCAACTCCAGTTTATGTACTGGGCATGACGTCAGATGGTAGGGAATATCCCTTTGGCCAGCCTGGGTCAGCTGTCCCGGCTGTGTCCCCTCCCAGCTCCCCGTGCACCCCCAGCCTGCTCGCTGGCAGCCCAGCACGAGAAGCTGGACTGTCCTTGACTGCTCAGCAACAACCCAAAACATCAGCACATTATCAACAGTTTCTCATCCCAAGTCCAAAACACAGCCTCACACCAGCTTCTGTGAAGAAAACCAGCTCTATCCTGGCTGAAACCAGGACAGACATAAAATTAAATTAAATGGGATTTGAACATCATTCTCCCAAAAGTTCCTTTGGCCTAAGTTCTTCTTTTTAAGCATTTTTTCATCGCTCTTTTTTTTTTTTTTTAATTTGCAAATGGAAAATTCTCAGTTATCTCTCTGTCCGACTTCT